TTGTTCAGATAGGCTTGCACTGCTCTAGCACATGACCTAGCACTCGTTTTCCGTGTTGCATCTGTAGAGGCTCGAGGCTAGCCTAAGGGGGCCCCGGCTAGATAGGCTAGCCACGTACTGCTGCCGAGCGATGCGAGATTAAGTCGTCGATAAAATGCCATAAGTTATTAGAGACACCAGCCCTGTGCAGACCCAACATGGCACCATCACGCCATGCAACGTCAAATGCTTTACGTATGTGAAGGAATGCGCAGTAAGTCGGCACGTCTTGGCGCAAACGAAAGGTTTCCAAAAAAGCGTACACTTGGATATCGGAGCCGTATCGAAAGCCTGCTTGGCAATGATCCAAGCGTGGATCGATGCTAGGACGGACCCGATTTAAGATCAACTGCTCCAACAGCTTAGCAAAACAGCACGTCAATGTGATGGGTCGATAATCGTCCCGATCAGTGGGTTTTGCACATTTCGCAAGCGGGACGCCAATACCATGCTTCCAGATGGATGGAACACAACCAGAAAATCCAACATTGCAGTCTGCCACAAGGCTAACTTGACTGCGAGCGCTTCATAAGGCAGGTTTCACAACCAGGAGTTTTGCCAAGTTCACATTGGCGAAGTGGGGGGGGGGCCGGGCACCTTATGGCTGCAAGTACGGCTTGCACGAAGGCGTTGCACCCGACGGCGTACACGAGCGTTACACGTTGTTTTTGTGTATGTTTTACTGGGCTTGTGATTCTATGCAAGTCTGCAGTGTATTGGCCCTAGCACTGGACTACTCGTATTACTTTTTTGGCTTCATTCTCAGTTGTCGCACAAAGGTTCGCGGTCTGATCGCAACACACAGGCGCAGCCGCTCCAGCTCAGCGGATGTTGTCCATGACATGATAAAAACTTCGTCATGACTCAAAGACTCGCAGCTGAACCTGCAGTCCACATCAACACCGAGGACGAAAAATTTGCAGCGGCGAGCGGCTTTGTGGCGGAGGCAAGCGTAAGGCGCTACAGTATGGTCCCAAGCTGCGCCTACCAAGGAACAATTGGTCTGGCATCGCGTCGTCTCGTGCACATCGATCAACCTGAGCGCGCGGAGGGAACGATGAAGGCTGATACTGATACTTTATACTATAGCAATACAGACCAGAATCCTTTTTTCATGGCATTTGGTTCAACAACCAAAGTATAGACCCCTTCTGATATGCATTTCCGAACCTGGGAAATGTGTTGTGCAGGGGTATAATACGACGGTATCTTCACCCCCACCCCTGCAATACATAGTTGGGGCTGGGTCAGCTCCGGCGCGGCAAGTGGCTTGTTTGCAGGATGCATGCGCAAGAAAAGTCTGGGCTTGGCAAGTGTGCTGTTCCAGCTGCCAAATCAGCTTCCGCATGGCTCACAGGAGCAGCGACATCTGAAGTGGCCCTCTTCGTTCGGCGGCGCCACTTCCACTCCCTCTTCAATCGTAAGCTGACCCCGCCGGCAAGAGCACACCACGGAGCAAGTTCGGCGCAAGTGGCTGGAAAAATCGGGCAGCGCTCGGTCCCCGAGCGCATGCGTCCTGTGGCTCGAAAAAGCAGGCGAGCATCATGAGGGGCCCGCAATGGCCCAGGCAGCGCGAGGCGATGTTTTGCAATTTTTTGAATGGGTTGCGGAAGCCCCCAAAGGGCGCATCATCAGCTTCGGCGGATCCAAAAAGGCGCGCATCATCAGCAACGGGGTGGTGCATGGCCTTGCTCCAGGCTTATAGCTGCACTGCCCACCCGTGGGCGCAGCCCCTCGAACCGTGCGAACACTTTGACGTCTGACGATACAGGTGACAAAATCAATAGTGTGGAATTGGTCTCACGGGCAATGAACGATTGACACTCGGCTCTTCACAGGTATTTCGACGCCATCACTTTCACATTTGAAAGCTCGGCACGCACCTGGAGCGAAGTTTCCAAGGAGGAGCAAAGGAAGCAGCAATCAGAAGGAAGGGGTTTGCCGATGTTGAAGTTGCACACGGGGCTTTTGGACAAATAGGGGTTCATGTTTGGCAGCACCAAGTGCAGGTGAGAGTTCAGTTCGTCCAAGGGACGAAAGACTTCTTGGCCACTCCAATTGTTTTTGTTGTTGGTGTTGTTGCATCGGATGTTGCTGCTGGCCAAAATGATCTGTTGCTGTTTCCGTAACAAGACAGCTCAAGCTTAGCAATCTGCCACGCGGTTGGGAACAAACAAAACCCCGCGATTCGTTTCGTGCTCATTTGTGTGCTTGCAAGCTCACATGCCACCCCGGAAAAGAAACACAACTACCAACATTCAGATACTAAGGTTATTTGGGATGCTTTTGGCTCCAAAGTTGAAGTTGCATCGTCGCACCCAAACCGATCATCCGATCTGAATCCGAACACATTCAGATTCCAAAGCGCCCGACACCAACCTCCTCACCAGCCGCAGGTGGCGATGGCATGCCCATGGAAACGAGTCCAAGACTCCGGATTCCTACCGACTACGTGGACGCAAACATAGCGATGTAGGTGCCCATGTGCCACAGTCTTGGCAGTTGCGTGCCATGTAGATTTTATTTATTTAGCTTACACCAAACCGCCTCGTATCAATCGCACTAGAACATGCATTTTGCACAACGATGTACCAATTGCACCACCACGAGAGGAATTGAATTGCATGATGCCCGTTTGTCAAGCAACGAATTCCATGCCATAAGTAGTGACCAACAACTCCCGTCTACGCAGCATTGACCTCAAGCTCTACAAATACTCCGCCGGGCTTTCATCACGATATCGAAAACATATGTACAAGCGTTCAACACTTCATTCACTTTTGGAAAGCCATGAAAGCTATCGCCGGCAGAAACACGGACGTCAAAAAAAAATCTATCACAGACTGCAAGGACTGCAAAGATCACAAGTCTTGGTATGTGTTTTCTGTGCAGTCCACCACACAAGCTTTCTGTGCAACAGTTAAGACTCCGAAGTTGGGGCACGCCACTGTGCGGTAAAACCACACCAGACTTCGAAATCTGCTTGCAAGTTTCGAACTCAAATTACCGATGTCCCAATTAGCCCATGTTATCGGGAACACCCACAAACATCAATCAATCTTCACAACACGCTACGAAATCTTGAGATCCGGAAAACAAAAGTCGAATTAAACCCTCATCATGCTCTAAATTTGTGGCTGTTGCTGCTAGTGCTGAAGTACATGCTTCCTTTGCAGTTCATGCATCTGTACTCGCACATTAGGTGCCAAGCCCGGTGCCAAGAACTAGCAAGTAGCACACACTTCAAGAATTCTTCCTTTTGCTTGCGTAAAATCTCCGCGCGTTTGATGAGCCATGGTAGGTTTAGAAGGGAACCTGATCACTCCTCTGGTTTCTGTACAACCTGCTGGCATCACCTCAGCCGGGTTGAGTCCAACGCTTGGGCAGGGCTATGGTTCCACCAAATCCATCTCCACTTTCCGGGAGAACCAAGGGTTGAAACCAGGGCTGCGGGAAGGATTTGAAGGTGTTGGCCAGTGTGAGTTACTGGATTCGGAGAAAACACCGAATGTCGACCACTATGGATGGTGGAGTTCATCATTTCTGCACCAGTGCCCCGTATCACGCCGGAAATGCTTGGCATGTGGTCCAACAAGACTTTTTTTGGCGTATGCGGGCCTCAGTGACAGCGGTTGCTGCGCTCGGTCCCAGTAAGAAGGCTAAGAAATCAAGAATGGCAATCTTCAAGAAAACTATACAAGGG